GAGCTTTCTCGAAAGAGTGGGCCACTATAATGCAGGCTCGACATGAACTTTGTTGGCATCCAAAAGGCTCAGGGCGTGGGCATTGTGAAACTAGGCACATACTGCCCCTCAGTTCCTGTCAGCATAAGCATAGGTTCAGGTCGACTCTGCGTCATGACAGGCCCACTATATGCAGTCAAAATCGCAGACACAGTGTCAGCGCCAACAACGGTTGTTTGCGTCACAACCGTATTTCCCTCCGAAGACGGTTCTTCGTTTGGACGTGGTATCACCATCTTACCACTACGTAAATGCATACACCCAAACCAACGGGTCCCACTGGGGGTGCCAATTTGTTCGCACGCAGTTTTTGCGCGAACAACCTCTGACCTCCTAACGCAGGTTTACTTGTCGGATCGGCCAAATAAGTTCCAGAACTATCTGGTCGAGTATATGCAATGGTGGTAGAATGGTTTTGTTTAGAATAAATTGGAAACAAATTCGAATAAAAATGTGTATACCAAATGAAGGACAAATAAAATAAACGAGTAAAAAATCAAGATATCTTAAAGTTTGGTAATGTAAATTGCTTTTAAAAGGAAATGCAGACGCAGTCATATATTTTGCAAGAATGAACTCTTTTCTCTTAACGCTTGGTACTCAGAGTGTTTTTTCCTTACAATGTTACAAAATACGCCCTTTTAAAATGAAAATGGGCATTGCCTTAAATAGGAAAAGAAAATAACTGCTATGTTGGTCTTGGTGGCCATCAGTCGACACTTTCGACGGAATAACCTTGAGTCGACTTACAAACTTCTTCTGTTGACGCCGACTTACCTCGTTTTCTTCACAACCTTTCCTAGCCTGTTGGCCCACAAGTCAGCTTCTATGTCAACTTTTCCCAGTCGAAATCTTCTAGCCAACAGGTTCCCAATATACCCCGTACATAAGCAATTTATCTTTTTTCCCCGTCTGAAGAGAATTCAAGTCATTAAGAGTATCGGTTGAGGAAGAATCACAAGTCAACATGTGCTCGTCATTAGTCTCTCTTTACTTTGTGTTTTAGAAAAGTATAAAGTTGTCATGTCAATGATTCGATTATCCAATGTATTCTTGATCTCATCTTTGATAAATTAACATGTTGTAGATCTTAGTTATATATATATATATATATATATATATATATATATATATATATATATATATATATATATATATATATATATATATATATATATATATATATGATTTTTGCAGTAAAATAAAATTATAGTTTTAATATTTATTATTGAACATATTTATAGAATTATTATTAAATTAATTCCAACACACTTCAATTGGTTCTCAATATTCATACAAGGAAAAATTTCAAAACACAAGGAACATGTAATATGATTTTGCTACATGTTGGAATATTTGGATCAAAAAGGACAATATATTTTTTAAAGAATAAATTTGTCATGTAGAAGAGGTCATAAACAATATCAAACTAGTTGCATGGATTTGGCATGTAATAGGGTTAAAGTCTAGAAGTTGCACCAACTATTATGATTGGTGCAAGGGTTGAAACTATTGTATTTGGGAATAACACTCCTTGTACTGACCTAAGTTTGAGTTATGATAGATTAGGTTTACTTTTTTTTATAAATTTTGTTGATTTGATTATTTATGTTTCAATCGTTATCTTATTTATGAACTCTTGTTTCTTTTATAAAATTTTTATGCCATTAAATTTTCTTTGGTAAGATTTATAATGGGTGCAGGTGGTTCTCATATAGACTTTTGGACTAATCCCTTCCCAAAAATAATTATATTATCTTATTTCATTTTTATTAATATGTTTCATCAATGTGTTTTTTAAGTGCTCTTATGCATTGCATTTGTATTCTTTTACTTTAATAAAATAAAAACTAATGCATATGATTATCTTCTTGTCAACCAATAAAATTAATACAAAATTAAAATTTTTAAAAAATAAAAATAATTTTACAAAATTAATGGTTAAAATTTCTCAGTTTCATGTACACGCCAAAAAAGACATAACCAAGTTAAATTTAATCATGTGAAATATATAATAATATGACCTTGGATTTATTGGTGAAGTGTAGCTTTCAGCATGCCATTTTGATGTATGATGTCCAATTGTTTTTTTTTTTTTGGATCCATCACTTTATTAAGTAGAAATATAATTAAAGTGATTCTAGAAAAATACGAAATTATAAACGAAATTTGTAAATCTATCATGTAAAATCTAATAGATGGTGTGAATTTCCGTAAGGTTGAACTTGAGTTTATAAGAATACCAGCAAAAACAGATTCAGCTTTGCTAGAACAAAATAAAATCAAATTTTTTTTTTAATTATTAAAATGAAGAATAAGTTAAATACTTCAAATAATTTGTAAGAACAAATAGGAGTAAAATTTAAGAGGCTGGAGGTAAATTATTCTTAGATGTAAGTCTGTTGGCTTATAAGATGGGCCTAAATTAACATTATGTTAATGGGCCTATCTAGAACTATATTCATATTTGCACATGTAAGAGAATTTGTTTTGACACCTTTCGTTTTGATATGACACCCCTAATTTTTCCATATAATAAAAATATTCTTTTTATTTTATTTTATTTTATTAATATTCTCGTGCAAAAAAAATTGATAGGCCAATAGTCAATCAAAAATCTTGTAGGTTATTTACAAAATCCGGTATATATTTTTACCAACATATTTTTAAAATTCGATGCGTGACAAATGTTTCCGTGAAACAAAACAAAAGAATAGAACAAAACAAAAAATAAACTACTAAATATTTTAAAAATTCAAAAATGAACATGAATTTATAGATGTTTTTGAAAAATCTGCTATCCTACCTTCCTTTTTGAAAATGCATGCAAAAAAATAGATTTTATAGGACATTTCAAAAATACCGATAAAAAGTATAGTTTTCATGAAAACTCTAGTATAAATTCAAAATCGCCAATATAAACGCATAAATTTAATAGACAAAAATGATTACTCCCTCCAATCACAATTATAAATAAAAATAATTACTATCAGACTAATTAAGTAAGTTAGTTAAGTGAAATTAATTTTATTTTATTTTATGTACAATCAAGTAAATTTAATAAGTGAACAGTCCCGTACTATCAAATTTAGTTGGGTATCAATATCCTCATTCAATAAAAAAAAATTACATTTAATACCATATCATTTTTTATATATATTTTATTTAAAAATTAATTAATCTTTTTATTTAATTTTAACTAAAGATATCGGTATCCAACTACTTATCATAAGTAGTTAAGAATTTGCCAATTTAATATAGTATCTTTAGTTATATTTTGATAAATCAACTACCTACATTAAACGCTTTTAAATAAAATTAGAGTATATCGGTAATACAAATATTAATTAGTTAAAAAATTAATGATTACGCTTATAATAGTGACAAAAAATTTAAATCATATTTTTGTTTATAATAGTGATTGGAGGGAATCCTTTATAAATATTGTGTAGAAGTTTCACAAAGCACGGTAAAAATCCAAAGTTTTTCAAAATATTCAAAAATAACAAATTAAACATTGAAAGTTATGCGAGACCATTATGGTAAAAGCGCTCCTAATGGGATGACATGTTTAATTTTAAGGGTTCTAGGACAAATTCTCCAGTTGCAAAAGCGTTAATCTAAATTGATGTAAATTGAAATTCTTTTTCCACTCCTTGAACCTGTGAGAAAATTCTTAAAAGTGACACAAACATCTTTTGCATTTTAAATCTAGAGCATGTTTTTTTTGGACTTTTCTGACCTGAAGTGAAGACCATAATATGCAAAACGGAGAAGCCAAATTCCATACATTGGTTATCAATCATACAACGAACTTGATCAATTTTTTAGGTGCATGTTCAACCAATGAATCTTCATGCTCGTGACATTTTCTGTAAGCTATGCTCAAAGATGAATACGAATAAAGCCTTTGGTTAACCAAACTATACAGTTATAAAACATTGTTGCTTGTTATTGAAGAGAATATTTAAACCTTTGGTTAACCAAACTATACAGTTATAAAAACATTGTTGCTTGTTATTGAAGAGAATATTTAAATAGAATAACTCAAAGGAACTTGCCGAAACAACTATCACATATCACAGATCCCAGTGAAACATCCAAAGTGATGTTTACTATCATACCACAACTGAATAATTTTCCCAATCAAAGAACACCTAAACTATAAGCAAAACTCAAAAGTACCATGACATCTTCAAGTTGTGAAAGAATATCTAGTACCGTGATGTGAAGTCTCAACAAGATAGCTGAAATATCACACTGTGTATTCAAATAAAGGAACAGTAGAGTCTTATCTACGCCATTTCACACAAATAATTAATCACAAACTAAAGAGTTGTTCATGTCTCTTGAAGAACCTCACAGAAGAAAACTCCATGTCAGATGCTCAGCTACCAACTAACTATCTAATGCAATTTAACCAGGAAAATAAACAAATCATGCAATTCTTTCCGGCTCCGGCATTATAAGAAATCATCTAGCCCAGTAAAAACTTCCTGTCATAATAAACATCACCTAATACAGAATTGAGCAAGTATAACTTAGTCCGCTCCAATGTTGTCAATAGTGGATCATAGGAAATAGCAATTGATTCAAATTCCGCTACGCAAAAGTGATGTAGCACTGACATGGCTTTATTATGACAACATTTTGTATTAAACAGTATACTGCATAGCAACATAAATTTGTTCAAATTCTGCTATGGTTTAGCACAATATCAGCTATTTAATAACACACCCATTTCTTCAAACATCAACCCAATGTCATCTATGTTAACAACTAACAAAAACTGAAACTCGGTATTAAAAAAAATTAGCACAGAACAATAAAAATGTCATCTTTAAGACATATGTTTCTGAGGGAAACTCACACAGTGAGCCAAAACCGTAAAAAACCAAAAACCCAATATTTAATTTGGTCATACAGTGATTAAGAGTTTCAAAACTAAACATACAATTAGGTCATTTGAGATGAGGAAGTTGATTTGATTTGGGGATTGAGAATGGAGGTAATAGCAGCACAGCTTCCTCTGTTTCAATTGGATCGGACCTCAATATCTGTCATAGAAGAGAAAAAGCACAAATTCAAACAACAAAGAAAGTTATAACAATTTGAATCACAAGAATGTTGTAATATATGGAAAAGAAAATGGTGAAAAAAAAGAGATAAAATACTGGGTCTTGAAGCACGGGTTTGGTGTCATCCTTCGCTGGCATGAAAGAGGGCTTGTTGTTGATTGGGTTTTGTTTGGTTGAAGATTGTGAACAAGTATTGCTCATTGTTCATGTATGGTGGTACTCTATTTCGTCAAGGAAATTGTAGACACCACTTTCTATGCAGCTAAACGTGAATTTGTTATGAACATTACATATCGCTCTTTCTCAAATTTATTTCTAAAATACCATCTTTTTTCCCATAATTTTAATAATAACTACTATCTTTTCAAATAAATAAAGAATTGTTGGTGCCCGATAAATAAAATGGCAGGGCCATTCCAATTAATTTTTCTTTTGTTTTATTATATTTAATATACTTTATTTAATTTTTTTTATTTAAATTAATATTTTATTTTCAAAATAATTGATAATATTTTAATTTGATAAATTATTTTTTAAAAATTTGTATAGCTATATTTATATGAAGGTTCTAGAAGGCAACATGAGGGATTTTCAGCCGCCCTTTTATCAAGTGAATCACCTATTTATTAAACATGTCACCTAATTTGATATTTTGCTTTCTTTTAGGATAAGTTGCCTGACGTGGTACTGGTGGAATGATGTGTCCTCATCTTGTAACAACACAAAAGAAGTCGTGAAATAGGTGGATCACGCTCCTCTGAATATCAGGAATAAATTGTCCACTTTCATGAGTGGTTGTTATTGTTAAGGAAGCATTAGATTCAGACTCAATATAGTTATAAATATCACAACATCATAGTGGAGAAGGATAACTTAACTTTAACACAGAAATACACATACAGAGTTTCTCCACCCTACATGGATTAGCTCTCACCCTCACAACAAACATAAAATCCTCTAATAGCCCTTAATCGCAAAGGGTTGTCACACATTTGTACTTTTAGAAAATACAATGGTTAGTGGCATTCTCAACAGTTTAAAGTCCAATTTTCATTGGCATCTCCCGTTAAAGTTTATATCTTAGTGTTTGATTCCTCAACAGAGTTTGTAGCCTAGTGGTTATTAGCAGTTCGGGTTATCATCTCCTTATAGAAATCTGATCTCTATGATCCCCTCCTCCAAAGAAGTTGTTTGATATATTCTGCGAATTCCCTCACAGAGTGTCATTTTTTTTCTTCCTTACATATAGTAATTATCATTACATTGCATCCTCAAAACGCGTATCATTTTCATTTTAATATGGAGCATTACGCCATGGAAGAATTCAAACATGCGTACGGAGCATAAGCCAATTTTGGTACCTCGCACGAAAGCCTAAATCAATTATCAATCATGACAATGACATACTCTCAGAAAGGATGTGTTGCGGTGGAAATAAGATCACAAACTATTAATGAGTTTGGATCGCAATTCAATTCACAACCGCTCTTTGATTTATCCGAAGGAAAAGGTCAAAAGAGGGAAAACCTATTTTGCATCATAAACACAATGCGGGGAAAGATCTAGGGTTCGGGGGTTGGTTAAATTTAGGGAAGGTATTAGCACCCTAAACTTCTGTAGTACTCTACAGGAACCTTTTGTTCAAATGTTTACTATTTGCTTTATTTATTTGCTTAAGGTATATGTACAAAGGGATTAAAAGTGAGAAAGGAGACCTAAGGGGTTAATTCTAAGTTTACTCGGCAAGACATCGCATCTTGTGCCTACGTATCCTTACGGGAGTGGAATCAGAGTAATCGTAGTTCCCCTCAAAAGGGAGGTTAGAGACTTCTTGACTGTGGTCAAGGTCTCAAGGGGAATAAACGCATCTTAAGGACACGCTTACGTGGAGTGTAGAAACTCCAACTCTCTACGTTGAATTGTTAGTTGTAATTAGGGTTAAATTAGGGATTCCACGGCGGGAAACCCTAAAATGAGCGTGGCGGCTCTTTGACCTAATGCTAGGGGTAAAATTGTAATCTTGCCTGCAGCGAGGCATCTGTAAAAATTAGGGTTTGTAAGAGTTGCAAGGGTTGAAGTTGAAGATTAGAAGTTTTGAGGTTGAGGATTATTGACACGGCGGTCAAACGGCTAGACCTAATTCCTTCGGAGTGTATAGTGTGACAGAATAACGGTAAAAGCGTGAGATAATTGAATCATGCAAATAGAGAGATAATGTCCTAATTTAGCCATGCAAGCAGAAATTTAAAGGCAGAAATTAAAGCGCGATTGTTAGGATTCGCGAGGTTACATGAGAGGAGCAGATACAATATGATAATGAAATTTAAATAGAACGATAATGAAATAAATGACAGTAACCGCAATAAACTGCAAAACGAACAAACAACGTCAGTGGGCAAAATTAAATGGATTATCAAATGGTGAAGAAGTGAAATTATGCATCTTTTTGTGGTTTTATTTTATGATATAAACTTTAAATTAAAATAGGATTTTTTAATATTAATTTACTCAAATCCTAAGAACTATTTTAACCTAATTAAATGTTACTTATTTAAAACAACAATTAGATTTTTAAAAAAAGTTTATTGTTTAAAAAAAGAAACAAAAAAATAAAAAACACTTAAAGCAAATGGGTTGGGCCGGTCATCACTCCCGGACCCAACCTGGTCCTGGAACACAAAGGAAAAAGGGGGGAGGATTCAGATTAGGGTAACCCTAATCTTTCTTTGGCCTCCACGGCGTCGCATGCTCTCTCTTTCTCTCGCGATCTCATCTTTCTCTCGCGATCTCATGTTTCTCTCGCGATCTCATCTTTCTCGTCTCCGCCATGTTCCTCGTATCTTTTGTTCTATGTTTTCCTGGAAAAAAAAAAGCACACAATAAAGACGTAAGTGATAAGGAAATTGCTCACCCTTCACTAGGGTTTGAAGCGGTTTTCGGAAACGTCTCCGTTGATGGTTGGATGCGATGATGACGTCCGTTCTGAGCTTCGAAGGAAAGTGCCTGCTCGTCGTGGCTTTTAAACGGCGCCGGTGGATCCTCTCCACTTGGATTGCTTTGTTTCGAGGATGGATGCGATGGTTTCTAAGTCTTTTCTCGTTGCCGCCCAGCCAACTCTTTTCGGTCTCCCTCTCCGTCTAGGGTTTCGACATGGTGAGCTCGTTCCTTTATATCTTTCTTTGACTCTCTTTTGGGCCTTGGATCTTTGAGTCTGATTCTCGTTTTTATTGTGATAACCTGAGATTTGGATTTGATTGAGATTTCACTTGATATTGATTGGATTTTTCTGATACGATTTGGTTTGTTGCAGATTTGATTGCATTTGGGGAACTCATATATTTGGATATCCGTTTCTGATACGATTTGGTCTTATTGATACAATCCAGTTTTGTCATGTATCTGGGTATCCAATTTGACTTGTGCTTCTGGGTTTGCGGAACGGTTCAGATTTGGACTTGTTTTCCGTTGTTCGCCTTTGGTATTTGTGGTTGACGAAGCTCTGTTGCTTCTGATACGTGATCGCACTCTTTTCTGATATGGCTTGGCCTCGATTCTCATTAATTTTCTTTTTCTTCTTTCAGAGTTGGTGCTAACACTTTGGTTGAATCCAAACTGCCGAGAAGGTTACGCGGTGATGATGACCTTAGGGTCTGAACTGCTATTGTGTGGTTGCTTTCGATTATGGTTGACGGCTTCGTCTGAACCTGTGTTAAATGCCATTGCCAAGTGGTTTTGGTTGCGTTGCCTTAGCGATGATGACCTTCGGGTCTGAGCTGATATTTTTGAGTTGATAGTTCGCACGAATTTGCAGTTCGACGTTCGGTAGGGAGTTGGTAACGGCTTCGGCTGTGCCACTCCCGGCCACTCGAATTCTCACGCCCAATGATGGTTAATCTGAGGGCTGAACCCCTGTTCCATCCATTTTGATACCTCGATTCTTCTTTGTCTGAACTGAAACTCATATCTCCTTTTTCCTGAACTGATAGGTGGCTGCGACTTTTGGGCTATGACTTTCACTGAGCTTTGAGCTGGTTATGAATGGTATGATCTGAACTTTGAATCTTAACCGGATCTTGATGTTTTGCTGAATTGTGCCATGTTTCTGGTTTTTCTGCTGAACTTGTTCTTTGAATTGATGCTGTCTGCTTTTTTTGATCTTGTTGGATACTCTTCCTGTTGGTAGGAACTGAACTTTGTGATTTGTTGGTATTACTTGCCCGTGACAGATTTGTTGGATTGTTTTTCTTGCTCTTGCGCATGAATTAAACCTTCCTTCCTCTTGCGCCTGAACTGAACCCAGCTCCCTGAATTGCTCTTCCACTCGTGCATTGAGTTTGCTACTTACGACTTATTGGTCCCTCTTTTCCTTTCTGAATTTGGGCCAGTTTTGCACTTATGATGTTTGTTCAAATTTGGTGCAGTTTATGAATTGCTTTGGTTTTGAGTTCTGTTCTAAACTTGGTACTGATGCTGTTGTGGTGAATTTCAGGTGTTGACAAACTTTGAACACAAAGTGGCTCATACCCGTCGGCATCCGGGTTTATGACCAAATTGATTGTGCTGCTTTACCCTTGTATCAGTTTGGAAAGTAAATTGGGATTTACTCGATGGTGGCATAGACCCTTTTCAGTTAATCATTTATCGGCCCAAACTTCTTTTACTTCTTCATCTTTCTCGGTTGTCCCGCATTGATAAGAACGAAAATTTCTTGATCTGACGCCGATGGTGCGGATCGGTAACAGGGGTAGGATGCGGCTTCGGTCGTGCCACTCCCGGCACTCAGTGATGACGCTGTTCTGAGAGTGTCGAAGATAACTTCTAACCCTTTCTTCTATTTTGTTTTGTTTTGTCTTTGTTGTGCAGGTTGATCGGAGATTTGGAGAACTTAATCGGAGAAGCATAAAGCAATGTCCGGAAACACTCTTTAGGATAGTTAGGAACTTTAGAGAAAAATGGAAATGTGTAATTTACTTCTTTTGTATTTTGTAGTGGAAATAATATTCAATGAAGTTCCTTTCCAATATCCCCCTTGTAATTGTAAAAAATATTCTGAATAAAAATTCAAGATACTTTTATATTCCACTTTTTCTCTCTTCTTTGAAGTCAAATGAGTGTTTCTTTGGACTTTGAATATTCAACAGGGCTTTGCTCTTTCCTTCGAAACGTAGGATATATTGTATGATCATCATGTAAGAAACTAC